CCCCCCTCACCAGCCTCAGCAGCCTCCTGCACAGGGTATGGCAGCATTAGTGCCTCAAGGACAAATGATAAATGCAGCACACAACACCAAGGAGGGTAGAAGTTAACTATTTTTCAGTTATGTGAAGTTAACTGTTTGGTTTTGGCATGTGTATCTTGGTGGCACATTTTTAAATAAATAATTGATTTGAGGAGCCTGATGATGTTTTTTTTTTGAGTCTGTTTCCTACTATTTTGGCTACTCGGAGCCAATCTAGCACATCCCGGAAGAGTCGCTCAGCGCACCTGAAGCGCTGCTCGACAGATATGGGCATCTCTCCGGCTGTGCTGCTACAGGCTCTGCAGAGACAGGCTGAGGAGACCCAGAATGTCCCTGCTGCTAACACACTGTGAGCCCCCCATCAGTCGAACCACAAGTTAGTTAAACGGAGTTAATATAAATCAAACCCTGTGAACAATTTATATTACATTTTATATGAATAACAAATAAGAATGTATATAAATACAAATTACATCCTGCACATTCAGTCAAAAGTATCACACACATAAAGCAAAAAGAAAATACCACAGCACATCTCTGAACGTAGTGTCAGTCACAACATTCGATGCACCAGCTCTACAGGCCCTTTTGAGGTATCCAAAATTTGGCCACTGACAGTGACTGTTACCATCCACACAATCCAGGAGAGTGGTTTTGGGGTGCAGGACGATAACATGCCTGCAGCTCGGAGAGTTTTGATGAATGATGTCCCGGGACCGGCAGTGTTGGCTCTGCTGCAGTACCTCTACACAGCCCGCTGCTCCATCCCACCCTCGCTGCTTCCTCATGTGCTCGAGCTGGCATCCAGGTTCGTTTCAGCCCTAAGCTTTTTTATTGTTTTTTTTTTTTTTTAAAGAATACTTTAAACCAAACCTTGCACTTTGATCAGCCTTACATTTAAAACATGTATGTTCCAGTTCTGATGTAGCTAATCTCACTTTCCTGATTTTGTTCTCATATATTATGGGCTGTCTATTGTAAAGAAACTAAAACTGCTCTACTTTTCTGTTGCTGCTGTTTTTTTAATTCACATGATTGCAGAGAAGAATACCCTGTCATCTCAGAACAGTTGTTTGACTCAACATTTTTTGAAGTGGCCCCTGTATATGTAGAGGCTTGAATATAGTTTACGCAAAGAAAAGTGACTCCCTTATAATTTTATTTTATTATTGTACTATTTTATTCTACTGCTAATATTCAATTGGGTTCTATTACGTCTGTTTTGAGTTGGGTGTATTTCCTAGACTGGCCAGTAGATGGCGCATGACGCGCAGCAGTGGTGGAGAGTAGGCTTGGGTACGTCAGAGGAAGAATAATTCCTCTAGTTCATGAAGTAAAGCTGCTGACACGTGCGCTCTGTCTATTCTTTATCCCAGGTTGGTAAACACTACATGTTAAGAGTTAAATGCACACTGTAAGAGTTGTATTACGTCAAAGATGATATTAGTTTATGCGACATAATGTGAAACGGGTTTTATAGTAGAATTTTGAGTCAACACTGCGTGTTGTAAGCTAACTTGCTAACGCTAATGGTTAAGGGGATACTATGTGGGAGAAGCTAACCCAGTGGTAACGTTACCACTTTTATGAAACGGTTTCACGCAATATGACAATTGCTGGTTTTATTTGTCACACTTTATATGTGCACATTTTCGGTTTATCACCAAATTCCAGAAATGCTATTGTAAAAATGTATTAGATACGGGGCGGTCATGTTCAAGTTAAAGGGCCCAGCAGAACTATCGTGTCAACATGAATGGTTTGCCTATGAACCCTTAGCAGCCACAGCTGCGCATGACCATCCCAATGCAGCCACCCATGCAAATGGTGTCAGGGCCGCGGGGACCACAGGTCATACCACCCGGCATGGCCCCAGGACAGTGTCCTGGAGCTGCAGGACCTATGCAAGCAGCTCAAACTCAACAACCGGGCCTTGTCCCATGCCAGACCCCACAGCAGGCCATGACCATGCAGCAAGCCATGATGCATCCTGGGCAGCAACCTCAGCAAGGCCAGAGGATGCTAATACCACAGCAGCCTGGTGCCTGGGCACAAACACCTCAAAGACCTGGTGCTATAGCCGCCAATGCCCTGCAGGACCTTCTCCACACCCTCAAGTCTCCCAGCTCACTCCAGCAACAGCAGCAAGTCCTCAACATCCTCAAATCAAACCCTCAGCTAATGGCTGCTTTCATCAAACAGCGAATAGCCAAGTACCATGCCAGCCACACGCAGCAGCAACCCAGCATGGCAGCAATGCAGGCCATGGCCATGCCAAGACGGGTGGTACAGAGGCCAAGGATGCTCCCTCAGCAGCCTCCTGCGCAGGGTATGGCAGCATTAGGGCCTCAAGAGCAAATTATGAATGCAGCTCACAACATCAACCCCCAGATCCAGGAGCTTTAACGTTGACAGCTCTTAAGACAGCAACAACAACAACAACAACAACAACAGGGAATGATGGCTCAAGGCCACCCTGGCCAGTTCCCTGCTCAGGCACAGGGTACAGCAGCTACTTACTCCCAGCTCCACATGCAACAGCAACAGATAGCCACGCAGGCAGGCACAGGAGCAGCTGGTGGACCCATGGGCCAGCTCCCGCCCTTGACTCAGATGGCACAGCCCGGTATGGGGATGGACTCCACCCAGAACTTGCTCCATCAGCGAATGCTTCAGCAACAGCAGCAACCTCCCCAGCAGCAGCAGGCTGTCCTCAAGCAGTAGATGGGCTCCCCTGCCCAGCCAAGCCCCATGAGTCAACAGAGGGGGGCTGAACAATGACTTGGGGATGGTGGGAGATGCTACAGGGGACACTCTGGAGACATTTGTGGAGGGGTTGTAGCATTTCCCAAACCCAAATGATGGGTATTTCTTCCTTATGGTGTTAGAAATTAATAAGTCAGTCAGATACCACATTCCAGTCCCTCACCACAGGTCCAGAACCAGCCCCAGCCCTCGCCGCAGCATCCACCTCCACCACATTCGGGTTCCCCCCACCCGGGACTCGGGGCCTCATTGCAGTCTATGGAGCAGGGGCACTTGGGGACACCAGAACAGAGCGCTATGCTACCGCAGCTTAACACGCCCAACAGAGGAGGGCTGAACAGTGACTTGGGGATGGTGGGAGATGCTACAGGGGACACTCTGGAGAAGTTTGTGGAGGGGTTGTAGCATTTCTTCTGGGAACTAAAAAAAAAAAACTGTCTCGCTCCCAGGGACCCATCCTCCCACTTTTCCCTTTCCTCCTAGCTTCCCCTCAGACTCTTTATCTCATTCGAGGGCTTTGTTCTTTCTAAGGTCAAGAACGGTTTTTGTACTGACATGTAAATAGTCTCAAACGTTGTAAAAAGAAAATATGGTTGTGATTAAAAAAAAAAAAAAATCAAACAAAAAAAGTCAACACTTGTCGGGAATGTAGTTGTTTCCCAAACTCAAATGATGGGTGTTTCTTCCTTAAGGTGTTGAGGGATTTTCAAGTTCTTTTTAAATGAAATTCAAATCACAAAGAATATGTTTTTGGTGGAGACCAAATGTGTTCAATACTCAGTTTATTTTTGGTTTGCTTTTGGTATGGTTTCATGCCTCTTTTTTTTTTTAAGAAAATGTACAATTGCATTATATTATTCATATCTTTTTATTTTGTACTTTTGGAAAAAAAAATCTTAAAGCTTTTTTGTGTTAAAAGTGTAAATTGTCTTGAATTGGGCCAGGTTTTTGTTCTCTTCTCAATCTGTCATTCCTGGCATTTGTAATCTAGTGTTGTACCATTACTCTGAGACGGTGTGTTCAGGGACAGAGACCGCTCCGTTCCCCTTTGTGTTACAAAGAGCACTCAGTTGTATTAAAATAGGAAACGTACTGCGACTGGTTGTGTATACACAGCATGTATGCGGGCGCACATGAAGACACTGACACAAACCCTCACAGTCACTAAAAGAAACACAGCTCTGACTGGTTTCACCAACACAACAAAGACTGCAGCCTACATCCCTGTGGGCTGGAATTTGAGGGGGAAAAATCTGTCATGCAGGTGTAGGAAATGACTGTTTTGACAGTAAAAAGAATTTGTCATACTTTTGTCATACAAATGTTGTAAAGTGTAAAGAGAATGTGAGAAAGAGACCAGCCCCCTAAGCTGAGGTGGAATGATCACCGGTTGTCGTTGGCCACATCTCGGATGACGCCCCATCCTCTAAATTTTACACTAAGCTGTGTGCTATCTGGGGATGAAAGGCACATTTGAGATTCACCCTGAGGAAAACAATGTTTTAACAACCTTCATTCCTCTCTCACAGAAACTTGAATCGGGGGGATTTACTTTTTCTCCTATTGTAAATCAAGTTAAGCAAAATACTATAAATATAAGAGAGAATGAATCACTGTATAAACTGGTAAAAGACTCATTTCTTACTTATAAACCATATTGTTAATAAACTGTGTGCAACAGAAGAACTCCAGTACTCTGACTGAATAATGAGACACCACTCCTTCTCTTAGTTTGTGCTTATTTGTTTCAACTCAGCAGTGTTTTATCATCTGATCACCAGCAACGGTGGGTGGAAAAATAGCCAGAGGTGTCAGAAAAAAATGCCTCATTAACTGTGAAGCCCTGTGTCTCCACATTTCTGCCCTCAGTGTTTTCTAATGGAAACTGTTCACACACCTAAAGATCTTCAAAGTGTTTGTTGCAGGACCGTTGATGTGTAGTGATGCAGCAAGTAAAACATTTCAGAAAACAAAACTACTTGAGTAAACTTTGTATCAATAACTTGCAGGGATGTGGTAAAAGGTAAGTGCATTTTTTGTCTCATCTTTACATGATGGAGTTCATCCGCTTCCAGTGTAAAGCATTAATAAATGGCCAGGTAAGCTCTTTTATGAATGAACCCCAGTCAGGTTGGACTAAATAACTGGAAAATATTAATTTAAAATGTTTAATATGTAATAAGAAAACATTCGCTTACACTAAATTCAAACTATTTCTACATTTTTCAATTTATGGAAGCATAATGTAAATCTTAAGTTTAAGTCATGTGATGCAATCCCCTCTGATTCAAGGAACAAGTTTTTACATGGGATAAAAACATGATTTTTCTGTGGATGTACATGTATTTTTGAGATTTAAATTTAGATAGGTATTAACTCCTTATGGATTACATGTAGAATCACAATAGTTAATGTAAGGGTTAAGGGACAGGAAGGTTTTGGGCGTGTGTGAATTCCGTTTTAAAGCAAGATTCTGCTTCAGTCTGTCACTTGGAGTTTTGCATTAGATATGATCAACTCACTAGTGTGTTTTTTTTTTTTCGTTGAAGTGTTGAGACGAATTAAAATCCAAAATAAATGTTATGAATTATTTCCCAGGTTCATATTAATACATTAACATTCACGTGACCTCGAGAGTAACTAATTATTCGTTTGTTTACGGTTAATTGACCTAAAGCTCAAAACGAAGCGGTTAATATGCAAACCAACCAAATTGGATTTTCTTTGATGTATAACGTTAATTAATACATAATGCTACATATTGTGTGATACAGAAAAGGCGCCACTTCGACGTGCAGCAGCAATGAGACGGAAAGTTAAAGGCGAACAGCTAATTCATTAAACCTCGGTGAGAATATGGTTTTAGCATGACCAGAAAGCAGGCTAACTGTTTTCTAACTGATGTTTTCAGACAAACGAACGCTTTCAAACCTTATTTCTGAAGATTTGAACATAATTTTGTATAGGTGAGTTTGTCTGAAATGTCATAGCTATTGGATTTTTAAAGATGGATGACATGGAGTGCTGAACTGTCCTCTGTCACGGTTGGTTCAACTAAAACTACGTTTCTTTGCAGCTGGGGACATGCTGGCATGGTCTTTTAATGTGAGTGGAAATAGACCATCATGGATGACTCGGACCAGGATTTTGTAGATCTCTGCTCAAAGCCGCTTAAACGTGTCCACAAGAAGGCAGCCGAGCCCAGACAGCCAAGGAAAGCAGAGCATCAGCCCCCCAGTCAGGCAGGTGAAGGAGAAGACCAGAGCAGGAGTAACGATAAAAAAGGTGACTCTGGGACCCACCCTGTTAGTGCCCGATCAGAACAGCATGCGGTCAGTGGAGTTACTGGACATGATTCAGGAGATGACGGGTCGTCAGCTGTGCCTTCAGCAGCAAGGCCAAGAGCAAAAGACAGTGTACTTGGCAGAATGCAACAGTTCAAGAGAGCCAGTCCACGAAAGATGGTGCACCAGGACAAGAGCCAGCCAGCAAACGACTGTGTTCCTCTTCAACAGCCACAAATACAAGGTGAGGTGGCATAATGCTTTTGGCACACCTTTCCAACCTGCTACATTCTTTATCCAGTAAGCAGTGGAGATAAATATCTGGTTTATTTCACTACTCTTTGGTTACATTGCTAATGTATGCTTTTGGAAAATATTATGACACAAGGAGAGTATGGTAAGTATTATGAATATGATGGTCAAACATACAGATGCATCTAATGTTGAGTTTATAAAGAATATTGTAAACATCTCATACAATCAAATGTATTAAGTGGAATGCAATTTTTAAAGTTAAATTTGCCATTGTCAGTGTATCTATATTAACAGTGGATCAGATAACATGTAATGCAAAAGGTCCACCCACCACTCTGTGTGCAGCCGAATCCTTCAGCTCTGGTCTTCACCCTGAGCTCCAGGACAGCGATGAGGCTCTGGCCCTGCAGCTGCAGCAGGAGCTGGACCGAGAGGCAGCGGAAGCCCAGATAGTGGATCTGGAGGATGGAGGCCTTTTCTTTTACCATCCGAACAGGTCTGGACATTTATATTTATGCAGTCATCCAGAGTGATTTACAGGAGGTTGTTAGAACATTGTGTATATATATATGTATGTACATTAAAAAAAAATTCATTTCTCACTCGCCCCACTTTAGAGTGGCCTTATCCCTTCCTTCAAGCTTGGATCCTCTACCAGAGGCCTGGGAGCTTGAGGGTTGAAGGCTAATTCTCAGTTCTTTTGACCAGGAACTCAGAGAGCTGAAGCGGACCACTTTGTTAGGTAATTTTTTAGTCAGATAGACATTGGTTAGATATTTGTTGTATTAGGAATGTTTAGTGGAGCCAGGCTGTCTAGCTCAGGCTGTTAAATGCTTAGTCATTCTCATGAGTTTCTTGCAGGGTGCATATGGCCAAGGACAACTAGATAGAAAAAGTTTGCAGGCAGGAGGTTATTGTTATTATTATGATATGTGTAACCATAATGGTAATCATAATATTTTCTTATGTGTAATGTCATGACATGTCACTAGATGTCATGTCAAGATGTTCTTAGATACACACCACTAATCAACAGCCACACACATTGATTTTCTTCATGTTTTGACTATTGTTATGGTCAGCTGCAAAGCTGGCATATCAGGTGACGTCACGGTTTGACGTTCCTGTTTGATGAAATTTGAAAGATGTATTTCACTGCATTGTGTGTCAGAGCAATAAAAACATTAATTACAGTTGTGCTGTCTGTTTAAATAGTATTGACAAAATGAACTTGGTATGAAAAAATTTGAGTAATGAATTGTTGTAATTAATTTTCACAATTTCCATTTACAGAGTTGATTTTAGTTGTTTAAATAAACACATTGAATAGTTGACCAAATAGCTGATATCGACTCACGGCTAAGTTAATCTTATGGTGGTCTCCTCCACTTCTAGACTGATGCAGCCTTCTCTAACACCAGCAACAAGCCCGAGTCCTCTGTGCAGCCTGTGAGTGAAGGAAGTCCTGTCACAAAAACAAGGACCTCCATCCTGCCTTCCTCCTCCCAGACTGCTGCTGCCTCCTGCTCCCCAGCTCTCCCCACCCCAGAGACAAAGCAGCTCCCTGTGGGCAGCCAGGCCCTGAGAGACCTGATGGAGCTGGCTGAAGACGGCATGACCCTCACACAGTGTGGCTTCTCTGCCTCTGGCCCTGACAAATGTAAGACACACAGACTGAACTGCAAAATATTTCTTTACCTTTGGGGAGTTATAACGTGTACCCAAGTAAACAGTACAAACGTTCGCAGTGTCTATAGAAAACGCATTGTTTTCATGTTTTATGAAGTGGAAATGCAAGAAATCTTAAACTAACAAAGTGGAAGCAAAACTGACATTAATGGTTTAAGCTGACATTTTAGGCTGCCTTGTTGTTTTTCCTTAAGAATACATTCATATCAACTCATATAATTTTGTAAACACTTTGTAAACTGATCCTAAGATCTGGTCCTGGTTGCCTTTGTTCTCACAGACAAGCAGAGCAGTGCTAGCCTGTCCGCAAACCTCCATCTGAGTGGATTTGTCCTGGAGGAGGCAGAGGAGCATGATGACCTCTGGGTGAGCGGCTTCCTGCCAGAGCCGACGCACCCACACTCAAAGGACACCAACAGCCAAGTGAGGAGAGAAACTGGTCAGCCAGGAGCAGATAAGGAGCAGGTAGGATCACCTGAAGTCACAAGAGATCATAAGGGTTCAGATCTTCTCTACATACAGATTTATTAACCTTGGAGTTTTACATATGGATGCCAATTTTCAAATTAAAACACTTTGTAAATTTACTTTGTAGTTCTAACTTTATATAATAAGAAACGTTGAAGTGTGTCTTGACTGGTGTGGCCATTGCAGGTGGCACTGCCCAGACTGGCGTCAGACCTGAGTACCATGGTGAACAACCCTCAGCTCAGTGATGTGGAGCTCCAAGTGGACAGTGGAGACGTCTACTTTGCTCATTCCTTCATGGTGTACACTCGCTGCCCCCTGCTGACAGAAATGGTAAAAATCATCCCCGTGTGTGGCAAAGTCTTGTTGGTTCAGTTTTTGTTTTGCTTTTAAATGAGGTACACAAAAAAATCTGCATAATGTTCTGGTAATAAATGCAGTTTGACTGAAAGCAGACAAATTAAGAGTAGATTTCAGTTCAATTTGCAGATTCCACAAATCATTGCTGAATTTTTTCCAAAGTGTCTCAATTTTTGGGGCCACATTAAAAAGAAAGATGTGGCTGTTGTTCAGGTGGATTAAGATCAGGACAACAAGCAGGCCACTTTGGAACACACCAGTGTTTTCTGCTCATCCATTCTTGATGTTTTAGATGTACTCCATGGGTTATTGGAGGAGCCATGAGCTGCTACTGGAACAGAGCTCTCCAACACTGGGAGCTATGTTTCTTTCCTGAATGTCTTGATTATCTTCTGATTTCAATGGCTGTGTTCCATTCACTTCTGCAGGCATGCCGCTTTTTATGTATTGGCAAGGGTGGGGAAACTCATTTAAATGATGTGCAGATGCACGTGAGGCAAGCGATATGACGAGCTCAGCATGAGTCGCGTGTCCTGTCTGCAGAGTTTCTGATTCATAATCAAAAGCTCTGGGCCACTGGGAGGAGATGTTGCCTGCATTTTCTGACCACACAGCGGTGCTGTTCACTGTTCTATCGGACGCCCCGTGATATTTTGTTGATTTTCTGTGGCTTCAGGTCATCACACGTGGCATGTGCCATTTCATGTGCTGAACGTAGACGAAACAGAAACCGTGCCCGGTTTACTTTCTTGTCTTTGAAGGATGTTTTTGTTTTGTTCACTGTGAACTGATGTGACAAAAAAGTTCTCATTTCATTTAATCTTCCTGACATTTTCCCAGAGGTATTGTGGCCTGTCAACAAACAGTTTAGCAAACTCCAGTTAGTTTTTTATGTTTTCTTTCAAAAGTGTCTTCTTCTATGAAGACCACTTTCATTCAGAAAGCGACATGTGGTGTGATGCTAAATATCACCGCTTTTCTCACAGCTTCTTTTTTTGTTCTGTGATAAACCACAGACATGCGGGTATGCACAACAAAAGAACTTTTAATTTCATTGTTTCAGCGAGGTGGAAACCAACACTTTTAGACCCATGTCCTTTGAGATTTTTCAGCGTTTAACTTTTTTCCTCTTTCATCCACCCTCCGCTCCTCTCACAGGTGCATGAGAGTGGTTTTGGGGTGCAGGAGGATAACATGCCTGCAGCTCGGAGAGTTTTGATGAATGACGTCCCGGGACCGGCAGTGTTGGCTCTGCTGCAGTACCTCTACACAGCCCGCTGCTCCATCCCACCCTCGCTGCTTCCTCATGTGCTCGAGCTGGCATCCAGGTTCGTTTCAGCCCTAAGCTTTTTTATAGTTTTTTTTTTTTTAAAGAATACTTTAAACCAAACCTTGCACTTTGATCAGCCTTACATTTAAAACCTGCATGTTCCAGTTCTGATGTAGCTAATCTCACTTTCCTGATTTTGTTCTCATATATTATGGGCTGTCTATTGTAAAGAAACTAAAACTGCTCTACTTTTCTGTTGTTGCTGCTGTTTTTTTAATTCACGATTGCAGAGAAGAATACCCTGTCATCTCAGAACAGTCGTTTGACTCAACATTTTTTGAAGTGACCCCCTGTATACAGGAAAAATACAAGAAAACACAGCAAAATCAGTTTATTGGTATGTTGACTCCTCTCTCTTCGTTTTCTGGTTAAGGTTTGACTTGCAGGAGCTACGGCAGCTTTGTGTACTTCAACAAGAGGCAGCAGCTGATGAGCATGAGGAGAATTTCAACAACCAAACAGATGAGGCCTTCATGGAGCTCCTCTGCTCTATGTGGAACGAAGAAGATGAGGAGACAGATAATGATGGAGGAAGGGATGAAGAGAGAGCGTTGAAAGAAGATCAACATGGCAATGACCTTGTATCAGGCGACAGAGAGATGCATGATGAGAAAGTGAATGAAGAGGAACTGGAGGCAATCTACGAGTTTGCCGCCACGCAGAGAAAGAGAAAGGAGGAAAAAGACAGTGGTGAGGAGGAGGAGGAGTGGAAGATAGATGAGGGAGAAGACAGAGAAGACTTGCTGTCAAAACTGACAGAGCCTAAAAGAGGCTTCAATGAAAAAAGCTTGACAGTGCAGTCTCAACTTGAGCTGGATTCCAACCTCAGACTCTCAGACCCATGGAGGGTTGACGAGGAAGCAGACCCCTCCTCCTTACCCTCTGCATCTGGGCCATCGAAGACACACTCTCCTCGATCCCAGCAGCAGCAGTCCTCTCCTAAACCCTCATCCGAACTGTCCGGCAGAACTTTGCTTCAGTCCTCAGCGAGCGTAGTCGACGACTTTTCCCTCAGATCTCCACTCAGTACATCCAACCTGCCGATACCAGGTCTGTCCCCTGGTCTAGTGGGTGACTGGGGCGGCGGTGGAGATGAGAGAACTGATAAACTAGATGTGCCTTTAAAACGAGAAAGCCAAGGACCTAATGGTATTTGTGTGTCTCTTTCTCCTGATTCACCTCAGAACAAGAAGGAAACTGAGGTCATAGTCTTGTCTGACTCAAGCGAGGAGATGGAGATAGTTCTTAGTTCCCGCAGTCCATCTCCACATTCTCCTTGCGCCGTGCAGTGCCTGAAGAGCTGTACCCAGATCAAACCACAGCAGCCTACATCTGAGAATAAAGACTGTTCTCCTGAAGTTTCCTGGCTGATCCCGTCCACGCCAATGCAGCCTGGAAGCAGCTCCAGGTCCAGCTCCACCCAGACCAAAAACAGCATGTGCAGGATGCAGCTGTTCCCTAAAAGTGGGGTTTCCTTACCCTCTTCTGTTTTCTCCTCCCCTGTATTATCAGGTAACAGACCTCAGACCTCCACCACGCCAGTGCAGCCTGGAAGCAGCTCCAGGTCCAGCTCCACCCAGACCAAAAACAGCATGTGCAGGATGCAGCTGTTCCCTAAAAGTGAGGTTTCCTTACCCTCTTCTGTTTTCTCCTCCCCTGAATTATCAGGTAACAGACCTCAGACCTCCACCAGTCCAACCAGAGTTTCAGCCCCCGCTGGCCCAACAGAAGGTAGTGTCTCCATGGTGAAGTTGGACAGGTTAGTTCCCTGTGGTTCCAGCTTGGATCTCAGCCTTTCTCCTAAAAGAACCAGCAGTTACAATGCGAGTAAAGCTAGAGAAGTGTTGGCCCTGTCCAAACCTAAGCTCTCAAGCACAGCAAACTCCCATCCCCTCCAAGAGTCCTCAAAGCAGGATACACCCCTCCATCTCCAGCTTTACAGCAGTACTCCCCTCCATACAGAGCTCCACCACCCTCCGTTTCATCTGGCTGCTTCCCCACTCGACACTGACCTTGATAAAAAGAAGTCAACAGGTGGAGGAAAGGAGAGGAAACTCTCAGAAAGCTCAGAGAAGACAGAGTTAGGAAACTTTCATCTCTCCCCCCTCTCCGACCCTTCGGATCCACCCTCTTCTTTCTCTCACAGAGGTCTACAAAGTTTGCAGAGACACAGTGAAAGTAGATGCTCTGTTGAATCCAGCAGGTGTGACAACACAGGGACTGAACTCAAAAGGGGGGCTGAAGTTGAATCAGTAGGAGTTAGAAATGAGACTGCAGACCTGGGAGATGAAGGAGAACAAACAGACGTTGCAGACTCAAGTTTCCGGCAGAGCTTCATTGATGAGCCTCCCATAGCTTTTAGCGACTCATGGGGACTTGATGCTCATGTAGAAGCAAACCCAGGCTGCTTCAGTCTGAGGCTGGAGGACAGTGGAGGATCCAACCAGCAAGAGCACATCCTGGGAGAAAGAACAGCCAGACTATCACCCTCTACTGACTGTCGGCCTCCACCATCTAGCATCTGCAACCAGTCATCGAACTGTCATGGCAGTGTGATTAACTCCTCTCCAGCCAAAGCCCAGAGTGCACAACCACCAGCCTGTGTACAGGTTCATGCACACTCTTCCTTCACCCCGTCACCGCCTGGCCCCACCACCTGCACTCCACCGGACATCAACAACATCCTCATGGATACAAAAATATGGGACAGCTGGGAGGAGGAGGAAGAAGAGGAGGAGGCTCTTCCTCTCTTTCAGAGGGTGAACCCCTCTGCCAGGCTCAAAACCCCCAGTAGGTCGAAAACTAACAATTGGTCAATTTTTGGCATTTTATTCAAAAAGTTATTTTATAATAGATTATCAAAATAGTTGCCGATGCATTTTCTCTCAGCCATATGTGTTCTCTTATTAATTGCACGAGTCGACCGTCAAACAAAAACGGCCCAGCATCTCCAGTGTGAGGATTTACTGCTTTTCTCTGATTTGTGTTATTTTAAATTAAATATCTTCAGGGTTTTGGAGTGTTGATTATACAAAGCATACTTGAGCATGTCATCACAGTGTCATCACAGACACTGTGAAGCTGCATTGGATAGTTTTTATTATTCTTACATTTTATTGATTTGTACATTATACAAATAATTGCATAAAAGAAATGGATGTGTGAATCCATTATAGTCATGTTTCCATGAAAACATTCAAAGTCCAGTTATCAAACTACCACTCACTGTTAACACCATTAAGCCTTGAACATCATTTCATGAATAACGTGAATGATGTCTCACTGTTGGAGATGTACAGCAGATATGCTGTGTGTATTAAAAATTTGAAGAGATTAAGGTCAGGATTTCTACAAATATGTGACGAACAGTTATTTCATTTGGTTTCCTGTGCAGAAATCTGACTGTCCACTTGTGTCTTATCAGTGTCATCACACAAGAAAAACCGTCAGTCCTTGGTGCCCATCACCCCCATGCCCCACTACTCTGACATGGACACACCAGAGCTAAAGAACAAACTCAACAGGTCAGTTGGTTCTCTCTCATCCCTGTTCTCATGTTAGAGAAGGTCTAGTTTTTTTTTTTTGTTTTTTTTTGTAAGTTGAGGAGCCTATGCAATTACGTCCCACAGGGCGTTAACTTAGTCTGTCCAGATCTGACCTCAGGTCATCTTCCTTTAGTCCATTTGTTCGTCTGTCCATCACAGGTGCCTCTAACGTTCTCCTCTGTGCAGGTTTGGTGTTCGGCCTTTACCGAAGCGCCAGATGATCCTCAAACTGAAGGAGATCCACCAGTACACCCACCAGCTTGTCAGTTCGGACTCTGAAGATGAGGCACCCTCTGCGGGTCAGGCTGCTCGAACGAAGCCTCCTCCCGCCCGTTCAGTAGCCGCTGGCAGTAGGCCAGTCTCCTGCACCCAGACAGTAAATTTCAAAAAGCCCAGCGCGCCTGTTGCCGTCAGTGGAGAGGAGGGAGAGCTGCTGTCAGCCTCGAAGGGCTCCGACACCTCTTCAACTGCTGCTAGTGAAGAATCTGAACGGTACTATGCACTATGTTTTTGGTGAGATTGTCAAATGTATAAATTCAATTATATGTTCATTATTGAGGTCATAGGTAAAGGTGGTGTTGCACTGGACTACGTTATATTCAGAGGTGTCTGTATATTTTTGTCCTGCCCATTGAAATACATGAGTCAGAATATTAGGAACACCTCTGAATATAACGTAGTCCAGTGCAACACCACCTTTACCTATGACCTCAATAATGAACATATAATTGAATTTATACATTTATCACCAAAAACAAACATTTTGAGCTTCATAAACATGTTAAGGCAGAATGTTGCATTGAACTGCACACAGTTGTACAGGTGTACCTAATAAAGAGGCCAGTGAATGTATTTTGATAATTTAGTCTAAATACTGTAAAAATGCCAAATGCAATGGCACCAGCTTCTTACATTTGAGTTATAGCTGCTCTTTGTTTTATATCATTGTAAAGTAAATATCTGGAGTGCTGTGAGAAACTGACATTAGAAAAAGGGGAGAAAAAACTAACTTTGCTGCGGTATGTGCATCTAACCACTTTCCTCTTTCATCAGGTCCAATTCAGAACTGTGCCTCTCCTCCGATGGCGACTCAGACAGCAATGGTGGCATCTCTGCCTCTCAGGCGGCAGATCGCCTCAAGGATCGCCTCCAGGCAGTGCGCTCCTTTATCCTGTCTGACTCCGGACTGTACACTCAGATCCTCCAGTACCAACCTCTGGTCCTGTGTCAGCTCCAGGAGAGACTCAAGGCGGCCGGAATCCGCCTGGGAGCTGCCAAGCTGGTGGACTACCTGGACTCTCAGTGCATCACCTTCACCACAGCTAAGCCAGGGCACTCTGCGCCCAGCCGCAGGTGGGGCAAGAGGAAAGGCAAGGGGGCAAAGGCAGCAGGTGAAAAGGGTAAGAGCAGGAAAAAAGACATTGCAGCCATGATTTAAAAGTGCGGGTTTTACTTCAGTGATGGGAATGTTAAATCTTCAAATAAGGTGCTGTGAGAATAGGCCATAAAAAAAAATAATAATCTATGAGCACTATTCCTGGACAACCAACAAGTGATTAGTCCAATGAAGGCTTCAGGTTTTACTGTTTTCTTTTTTTTTTTAAACAAACATTCAAATATTTCTTCAGAATAGGGTTTGTATTAAAATGTCAAAAATAAAAACCATCAGAAATGATGCCTTTCATCCACACAGATGTATGAAATACATTTCACAGCCCCTCTGTCGTCATCTGTACATAATGGCACAAAAATGAGTCCTTAGCATTTGGTATTTCACCTTGTATTAATACTAAATCAAGAATGTGTGGAAATTGAAATAAGTGATTGTATACAGCAATTTTTGAGAAACATTTTACTTTTTTGCTTCAATCATTTTATATCCAAAGGATCAGCCAAGACATATATACAGCTGAGCACACGTGTGAAAGGAGGCAGGTTCTTTAACATGAAAAATGTTAACGTCTCTCCAATACATCATTCAAGTAGAGAGAGGCGGGCCCTCTGAGCAACAACATCAGGTCCACGCTGTTCAAGTTCACAGTCAGGGCTCTGTTGTCACATCAGGGGCAGTTTTGTGTTGTGCATCTCATTTTCTGTACAGCAGTGTGAAGCATGGGGTGTCAAATCAGATTCGAAATTAAGCACGACCCACTTAAACCACAGAACCTGGAGACAGATTCTGCTCCTCTTCACTCTTGTGATGCCTTCACTAATGAAACATCAGCATGCTTCTTCCTGTCCTGGCTCAGAGCCGCCTACAGTCACGACAGGTTGGCAATGTTGGCGAGGAATCGCTGAGCCCACCACTCCTCCAGGTCTATGGGCACAAAGTCTGCACAGAAGAGAAAATGACAGAGAACAAAAAGTGTAATCCAAGTTGTGTGATTTATTTTGTTAATGCTGTCACATGTATACCAAACTCAATTTAGACAGAGGCGAGACCTGACTTATGCAGATGAAGAAACCCAAGGGTGGTGAAAAAAAATTAACTGAAATTAACTGTTACTTAGTACTACTGTTAGCATTATATCAAACAATGTTTTCTCTGGAAATTTTATAACTTTAAATCTGTGCTAGAAAGATTATATTGTCTTAAGGGAAAATATTAAGAACATATATGCATTAAATGTCAAAGTGCTGTCAGAAATAAACATTTTAACAAATGTCAAACATTGTGTGAGTAGATCTGTGATGCTGTACCATAGCAGGGCTTTGAGCTAAATGCTAACATCAACAGAATACTAACCTATTATTTAACACGGATGTTTATGACATTTGCTATGTTAGATTATCTCGTTTGTTGATTAAATAAAAGCAAAGTTGGGGCTTATGGGAATGTCAGTTTTGCAGGTTCAAACCAAAACTGTAAGCTTTCATGCCAATGACTGTTGAGATATTTTAGGCCAACAACACTGACCTTCCTCAAACCAGCCTCTTTATGTTTATGAAAAACCAAGGCTCACTTGACCTGAAGTGCACCAGCTTTCAACTGGAGCAGACAGGTAGGCGTGTGTGTGTGTGTAGCAAGACGTGGCATGCGCCAATCAACAGCCAGGTTCTCATAGAAGCTCTGTTACAGATTAAAGAAAACTATTACAACAGTTGCCCTCTGGCTATAGATACAGGTGAGCCAAAAACACTCAGAATTCCTGCATAGAGATGACGGCAGCCATTTTGTTTTCCACTGCTTAAATAATCAGGAATAATAAATACATGATGAGATTACTGGTTCAAAGGTACTGAGCACAAAGAGGGTTATCTGTTAGGACACCAAATAACTGAGTAGTAAGATTAGAGTTAAAGAGCGTGGGTTCACTTTGTTGTATTTTAGCAGGTGACTGAATGGGATTGTATACTAATCAAAAATCACCCTTATCAACGTGGAGAGAGGAGGTGTAGGTACGTACTCTTCATTGCAGCACTCGATGTCTTCTCAGCATACTGAATGGGCCCCTGGCTGTTGGTCGACTCCCCACCATCCCCCAGTTTCTGCTCCACCTCCTGCCATGCTGCACACAAACAAACAGTCCATGCTGAATACACCTTAACTGCGTACTTGACAATCTGCCTTTGGCCCTGCACTGGTCTGTGGTGTGCGTTTATCAGCTCTGGGTGAAGGTGTTCCACTTTCATCTCAGATAAACCTCAAGGCTCTGGGCTCAGCAGTTCATTTTATATGCAAACTTCCAGCCACACAATGTTTACATGTAGTTTGCACAGCCTGTGTATTTAAAATAATGTGAGGATGTCAAATCTAAAAGAACAAACACAAAGCAACCGCTATCTCCCTGCCTGGAGGGAATGTTTGTTTTAATGTCAGCTTTTCTGTTATACTGAACATGTTCGGCGGAAGGGGGGCCTTCTGTGTTCAAACAGCTGGATACACTATGACAGAGGTCTGTCTTTAGGTGTGACCACTGAAGTACTCTCCCCTGGAGAGTACTTCACAGGAGGACAACACCGAACAGTGTTTAGCGGCAGCAGCCCAAATAGCTGGTTCAAGCCAATTCAACTCTACAAGTCATTGATGACCACCAGGGCATGAAGTACTGTCCAGTACTAAGACATGCTGGGAAAACCTTAAGCCTGGTGGTTTTTAATCATTGTTCGGTTTTACCGTCTATAAACACTTCTGAAGCACTCTCTGTGGACAGTTTGAGTTCTTGCAGTAGTGCCACATTAAATCCCATCTTGTGAGGCTGTTGTTACAAAGGTTGTTGGTACATTCAACCTCATTTGAATAAACGGTTGGGCAGCTGGGACAGTGTTAACCCCAATTTGGTACAAGACTACAGTTATGAATACTAACAAACATGTTTACAGTTCATCAAAAAGCACAGTGGTTTTGTGTCACTGTGATATTTGAGTAGTTACCAAGGAATCGGTAAGAATCAACAAATCATTAATGATTATCTAACATAGTTTAAGCAGCCAAAGCGTAGATAATATTGAGGAGACAATACTGACAGCTACTAACTATATTGGAAAGTCTTTTAACTGACCCAATACATACATGTAGAACTGCTAATAAAGTGAAATAATGCTGATCAAATATTTAAATAAGGCTCCAACCAACAGTTATTTTCATTATAAGACCACCATCTCCTACAGCCCATGGTGACATCTTTAAATTTCTTATTTTGTCCAGCAAAATCAAACATATTCAGTTTACTGTCACACACCATCAGGCAACTGTTTGGACACTTTCTTGTTTAGCTGAATGAAAAAAAAAGTGTTTCCAAACTTAGACTGATAGTGTATATGACAAAGAACAGCAATACATTGTCAGATTTTTGATTTGAAACTCTGTCATACTGTGGAACCACAGCAACCAATCAAAACTGTGAATTTACAGTGGTAAACCTTTACAACCCGTTGCTATAGTATAGCTGCTCAAACAGGGAGAAAAGTGGAGTAGGACAAGGAGAAAGCAGGAGATTATCTGCCCACCACAGTGTTCCAGTCCCAGTCCTTACAACCTCTGTTCTTGTAACCCTGTGAGAAAGATCACCAAGCTCTCATCCGGCCTCTGGCCCATGAGGCCTGACCTTGCCCTGTGAAACTATTCCATTGATCTTGTGACCCTCACCTTCATATACAAATCTAACGTTTTCCTCATGTGCAGGAGTGAATCCCTCTGCCGGGCTGTCGGCTTTCTGCATGGCTGCACTGTGGTAGCGTTTCCCATTGGGGCGGTTGAAGACGATTTTCGGCGGCGGAGAGCTGCAGAGACCAGGCAGGGTTAGTTACAAAATGTCAGATTGCCAGTTGTGCCAGCCTGCACCTTAACTACACACAAGACTTAAATCTGACAGTGATGACAAAGGTTACGCTGGTTGTGCCAAGTGTTTACTTTACCAAATGTTGAATGACTTTCAACAACTATCAGGGAAAGGACTTAAGTGTTCTGCAATAGCAAGAAAAGAGTGTAGATGTCCTTTGTGTAGCTGCAATGCATTCTAGTCAATTGAGGCTTGTGCTGAAACATAGGTCACCTACCATTTTACCTCTTCCACAGTGGATTTTACCCAGTAGATCTATATATTAAATACTGATGCAAAGTGTAAAAAGAAGCCCTTATCCATATTGATACACTGGCCCTAAAACCTGTTGGTTTTTATTAATTAACGCATTCTTATATAATCCTGTAAGACCTCTTGGAAGTTGTAATGTTGCTGCTGAAACATTAAGAGCTATATTAGAGCCTGTTAGTTTGTTGTGCTGTTATATTATACACTGTATTAGCCTGGCTTTAGCTACTTATGAGACACATAAACTGGCTGCTGTCTAAATGATGTTATTTACGAGCAGCACCTGGAGGAATCACCGAGTCATGACAGGGCACGTCGAGTCCCACAGCGGCTCCACAGTCGCAGGTAGGGGAGCCGTGGGTTATAAATCAAACGATTTCGGGTTAAACTGGGACAAACTTAAACGGCCTGTCCGATAATGGATGCAGGACCTTTAACCAGGTCATACCGATGTTACATGATCACAGCGCACGTGCAGAGTATTTTGGGCCCACGCCGCTCGACACCTCGCATAAATAATGTTTTTAAAAAGCACATCAAAATATAACAGAGCGGATACTTACTTGGACGTCAGCCAAGACCTCGGCTTCAGTTTCAAGTCGCTGAATTTGCTCTCGATCTGTTGTGTGGGACCTGAGAGACAAAGTTCAGGGGACAACTGTGATGTTCTGCACAGTTTAACTTGAGACGCTCTGATGCAATAACCCGAAAACTGTCCCTCACGACCCCAAAGCAGCCCAACGTCACATTGCATCATGCTTTAGATAAGATGCCCACTCACCTGTCCTCCGTTGTGTAACAAGTTTGCTGGGACCTCTGGTGATTGTGTACATCATGTGAACGCCGGTAACCTCCTCAAACAACTGCCGTATTCGTGTTTTAAAACTTATGTGTTTTAAATTTGTGTGTGCAAACACCGACGGTCAGCTGCGCAACTTCAACTCCTCGGTGCGCTGCTCCTGGCGCAGCCACGACTGGAAGAATTTCGTAACGTGGCTTATTTTGTTGCCCAGGTCAGCTGCTAGAGAGTCGGCCTGCAGCCTGAAACACACTCACTTTCACTTGTTGCCCACTGCCCCTTTTAATCAGCAGGTGCTGAGCGCAATGAGTGACGTCCACTGCTCCAGCGAGGGGCGGCGTGTAGGTCAGTCAAGGAGAAAGCGGCTCCGCATGCCGGGGACACGGTGGATCCTATCGGTCGAGGACAGACGCTCGGTGGGGGACACGCTGTCCTCTCCGCTCCGCTGAGGTTCCGGGGCCGACTGTGACACCTGTGCTCTCCGAGACAATACAAGGACACCGCACACTTTGATATTTTCATCAGGACGGAAACGCACCATGCTTGTCCAGCGTCAAGAACTAAGCAAGAATAAAGAGCAAGACTTCCGGCCAGGATTTTCAGAATAAACGTTTGCCGATTTAAAATAAATAAATTACGCTCTCATTTGTAATCAACCATGTCGTGCACGAAAAGACACCAAGTAGGCTACTACGTGACAAAACGTGGATCGATCATGTCCACTGAAACCTTAAGAACTAGTTTTCATAAAGCCACACTGTCTTATTACAATACAAGGTTTCTAATGGTAGCGGATGTTTAGCGCTGTAGTCTTTACAATTCGGTGCAGGTATCTTTCATTGTTTTAAGTTTCAGCTTTGAATTTAAAAAGATCTGGTTGCTATTTTGATACTAAAAATAGTTTTGGTCTACTCCAGAAGCTTTTTTCCCCCTTCTGTAGAAAGTAGTTCCAATAAAACAAACATGTTATATAGAGGTTGTTTTGGAAAATCCTGCTTTTAAGTTAAAAAAAAAAGTTATATATGTGTTAGTATTTACACAAGATTGACACCTATATTTATAAGATGCATTTATTATTCAACCATTGGCAAACCATCTACTTTAAAATGATTTTGTAATGTTTAATGCAAGTTCCCTTAATTAAGGAATTTCTCTAGGACAAATGTATTTATTTTTGTGGATTTTATTTTATTTTCTGTTAATTTCCGCTCTCGTTGTCTCTATGGACCTGTGATCGAGCAACTTTACACAGTTGGGCAAGCACACACTTTAGTAAAAAAAAATAAAATAAAATAAATGAAAAATTTTAAATGGGAAAGTTATATATTCTTAATAAAAGGCTATTTTGACAAAGCATAAAAGTCTTGAAAGCTTCTGCATTGTTAGAAGAGGAGATAGTCTTTATGTAAAGTTGATGAAATTAAAAAAAAGATAGGAAGTAGGGTTTGGTTATTTCAAATTTCCATTAGTGTAGAAAATATTTGCCTTGAAGGACAATTAAGTTAATAAAAAAAAAGTTCTCCATGTAAACATCCTGTACAATGACCACAAACACCAAAAACTAAATTCTCAAATTTGAGGTTAAAATCAGATGTCAAATATGATACATGATCAGAAATAATATTCCATATTAAGGTTGGGTTTTAAAGATAGTTTTTCAACCAACCAATTTTAAATGTATTGTTAAGAGTGCAAAAATCAAGAAAGTTAAGTTCTCATGTGTCATAAGTGTTCATTACATAGACTTCTTTACATGTCTTTTGTTTTTCCACAGGAAATTAAATAGAATACCTTCAACATTTTTAGAGATGTGATCATTGACATGGAGAGACGTCGCAGCATGAGTAACGACAAACCTTCGGCTTTGGCTAAGAGAGTTCTGCCTTGCAGTGAAAGATCTCTTTGGAGCCACATATTTAATTATTTCTGTGTTCTTTCAATTATAAGCTTAAAGTTGTCACTGCATCTAGACCACACATCCTTAGAAACAATAACACCTAAGTAGGAGATCCCATCTTTAATAGGGATGTTACAAATTGCACTTAATTTAGTTTTTGATAGACAAGCTCACATTTTTTAAATTAAGGCGTAGTCCTGAAGCTTTGGAGAATGGATCAAGAATACTTAAGGCTATAGGTATCTGAGAGGCATCTCTAAGGAACAGTGTGGTATCATCTGCTACCTGACTGATCTACCAGCTATGGAAATGCCTTTTAGCATACAGCTTTGAATGTGGCAAGACAGAAGTTTCCCAGCTACTAAAAACAAATATACAGAGATGGGACAGCTTTGCCTTATCCCCCTGTTAATCTCAAATCTAGGAGAAGTAACATTGCACAGTTTAACAGAGTGGTTTGCTTTAGAATAATTGCTTTTAGAATCTACAACTTCCTTTAGAGACACGGCTTTGTCACAGTACTCTGTCAGATAAGCTTAATAACATACTGTGGAAGAGAGACTAAGAAAGCGTTGCATGCGTCTTCTTTAAATCTAATTGCTAATAGAATGTATAACAATGTGTAGCAATTTCTTTGGGATCTCTAATAATATTACTGTTACTCAAACGTTGCTTGATAGAGTTATTCTTAGAGTGTGATCATTCAAGTAAAGAAATATGCCGAATTTGGATCACCAGACACACACGCATGCACACACCCTCAGTGACGCCCCTGAGACAGGATTTTAGTGGAAGGAGCAGGTGCAATTACCTTTCACCTAATAACCAAACCAGCAGACACACTGCTACATGGGACACATAGATAAAACAGCAATGAAGATAAAACTGACTTTTCTTCTGTAGCTTTTCTTGTATCTGCATTTTAAGTAATAACTCATAAATTCCAACAGCAACTTGAACTGAAAGCATGTATAGTGCCACACAAGAGCCTATAATAACCATGTTCTTTTAAAAATCTTTAAGATCATTCACTTTTGCTATTATTCTTTTCATAACATGCCTGTAAGATCTTAGCTATATGAAGCTGTTACCACAGGCAGCCCGTGTTGCTCGGGTGGACCTAAGAGACGACACACATTGTGAGATGACGTCAACATTTATTATGTAAAAGATCACCTACGACACGAAGCAGTTCAGACAGGTTTATCCAGGGCCAAATCCAGCACTACACCTCCCACATTCATCTGTACTATCGGGGCCAGTGGCCTGAGTCTCCCAAACAAGAGGCTAATCATCAACACACACCGGCTCAGCATTAGCAGCACAGAGGCCAAATTACAGAGGGTTGTACTGAAGAAGAAAAGCATTCACACTCCCATTGTTGAATATTTTGTACAATATCTGTTTGTTTCAAACATGTTAATAGTTGATTTTCCATCAGTTAACAAAATACCCCGTTAACACCTGAGAAAAGTATTGCAACTCCCCATTTCAACAATTTAATTTCCTTGGTTATGTGTCAAAGCAAAAAGCACCAAAGCTGGAAGCATTTTTATGGACTTCCTGAGACTGTTTCCTTTATAAAGAGATATTATATCCACTCAGTTCAATCGTATGAAATCAAATCTTCATGTCTTTTTATTCTATTTTCAGAGCAGTGAAGTAAGTACCTGTAAGAAAACAGGTGTTTTTAATTATTCTGAATGAGCCTTTTCTGTTTTGTAAATTCTATTTTTCCCCACCTATTTCATTGCCGATCCATTTCTGACCCTCTGTTCCATCCTACTGGATTTCCACATACAGTACTGTTATTTACCTGCATCTAAAAGTAATTCTTACTCCTCAAACTGAGGCTCAACAGCAGCATTTCTCAAAGGTATAAAAACTTATGTATTTAATATTCCTTTCAATGAGTCTACTTTAGAATAATGAGGCATAGAGAGTGCATGACACAACAGACACAATTACCAAGACACCCTGAGTTAGTGAATTCAGGGGTACACTTGGTTAAGCTCCATTATAAACAGTTACCAAAATGTTTGCATTAAAATGTCTAAACATGCACCAGGGGCCTCAACTTGTGAGTGAATTCATCATAAAATTAAAATGATCCAATCAGAATAAAACCAGCTACTTGGCCTTTACTTACGTATGGCACCCAGTCTGGTCACTTTGAACATACACACTCGTACACACACTCACAATAATAAAAGTGTGCATGGAAATAAAAGAATGGCAATTTAAGTACTGGCAGAGCCGGTTCTTCTCTCTCTGTCTGTTCAGTAATCCTGGCACCTGATCAGCCGGCTCACCTCCTGTGGTGGAAAGTAACCAAGTACATTTATTTAAGTACTGTACTTAAAGTACAATTTCTAGATATTTGTATTTTGAGTATTTTCATTTTCTGTTACTTCATATTTTGACTTCATTGCATTTTAGAGTCTAATACTGTACTTTTTACTCCACAACAATTATTTGATAACTTTAGTTACTTTTTAGAATCAGATTAATAAAATAATACAATATTATCATTGGACTTTATTGATTTCTGGTGGCAAATTCACAAGCTACCCAGCACTAATTCAATTTAGAAGCATATAAGCTTTTTAAAAGTAGCTCCTCCTTTACCAGCTGCAACATTAAATGTGATGTACACAATATTGTTAAGTGCCATTTTACAGAATGAGTACTTTTACTACTTCAAGTAGGTTTTGATGCTCAAACTTTTTTTTACTTTTACTTAACTTTTGAATGCAGGGCTATTACCTATATAGAATATTTTTACACTTGTCGTATTGCTACTGTAACTTAAGTAAGGGATCTAAGTATTTCTTCCACCACCTGTGCTTTAACTGTGCTATATGTAGGTGGGTAGTTACTGTTTTGGACAGTCTTTTCTTTCCTTTCCCTGGGACCTGACACATGTATGGCAGTGTGGTGTGCAAGTGGGCATGGCCAAGGCATTGTTGACTCCCGCAATCTGTCAAGGATTGCAGCTCAGCCGGTTTGCTGCATTGAGTAATTGCTGGAAGGCTCTGCTTAAAGAGCCCATGACATGCTTATTTCCAGCCATTTAATGTTTAATCTTGGGAAACTGTAGATTAGCTTTGCACCCATCGTAACTCCAAATAGTCCGTGATCATTTCAGAACGATAAAACCCGAGAACTTCCTCCTGAAAACAAGGATAGTTTTTGAACCTCTTCCTGCTGCCGGTGTTGAAATTAGTTTCCCCATTGAGAAGTGTTTCCCCTAACCACAACCACTGAGGGGTGCGCTACGTAAAATCAAGTTTTGAACAAGGGAAACACATCTCGACAGGGGAACACTTTGACACAAGACCTGTCAGGAAGCCAGGACATAAACAAAAACCACTGATGAATAAGCTACATTTTCAACAATGACAATACCTCAAGTCCTACCTGACATGTTCGAGACAGAATATGATAGTGAACAGTACGACGAACCACAACAGCATCAATTTGAATTTCTCCTCTATAGATAGGTAAACAACATGTACCCATGAAAAGAGATGTGCAACACTCTAAACTAAGTGGGTAGTTGAGAAACCCCATATTTTAACTGGCATAATGCAGACATAGTGAATTACAACAATTCTCTACAGAACAAAGCATTAACTGACATGCAACGTGTTTTTTTTTTTTTACTTATCTTT